GAAAAGTTTGAAGGAAAGTGGAATTTTTCCATGAACGTTTTGAAGCCCTTCATATATAGCTAGAAAGGTAGCAACAAACTCTTAACTAGTAAAGTATGAACATTCTCATTTCTTATACATACACCCGTATTAGGTCTTCGGATTTTTTAAAAGATTCAGATTGGATAGGTAACATAATAGTATCTGGTTTTAATTTAAGTTCTTGGGAGGATGAACATTTAAATAAATATATTAACCATTTACAACTTTTGTGAAATACCAACTCCAAAGTTTGGAGCCATTTGTCTTTTGGCAAGCTGCTGCTGCTTTCTGTCTTATGTGCTGACAGTCACAGCCATGACCCGTGCAGTCTCACGACACAGTGAGTGGCGTATTGGGCTGTTAACCACAGGTCAGTCGTTTGGACTCACCATCCACTGTGAGGAAGAAAGATGAGGTATGTGCTCCTGTAAAGATCGACAGGGCACCCCTCGTATAATAGCATGGTGTTTACCCCACATCCAAATCATGATGTCTCGTTTCACAGGCTGCACCATGGACATTGATGTGTGAGTGTGTATTATATTTTATTTGCGTGGAAGCTAATTATATAGTACATTTTTCTGTGTCTGTCCACCTTTTTTCACTTCTTAGGATTGGTTTTTTTATTAGTACGTGAAAATTTTCTTTCTTTTTAAATTTCTTTCTTTTTCAACAGCTACTTTTTAACCCATTTCAGGATGGATTATTATTTAATTTCTTATTGATGGATACAGTTTCTCTTTTTGGCTCTTCTAAATTAGCCATTGACTATCCTTGTACGTACATGATTTTCTGTTTTAGGCTAGGTTTTCAAAACCTTACTGCATTTGAAATCTGGCTATTGTGTGTACACATATCTTTGGTAGGTGAATTCCCTGCAAATACCAGAATAACATTAGAATGGTTGCAGTGCATCATATACATCATATACATTGGTAGTATCCCCACTTTCCAGATAAGAAAACTGAGGCCTAAAACAGAACAGTGGCTTGCCAAAGTTTAGACCAACGATTGGCATTATTGCAGCCAACTGCCTTCAGAGCTTACATATTTGAATATGCTGCATCACTTGTACAACTTGAAGTACTCCTTGTGTAACTGTCACCACTCCAAGATGGTTGGACTATTTTGCTTGGATTCTTTGTCAAGTAGACCCCTTCTCTGCCAGAAAACTGCTATGTATCTTTCAATGATCTGTGAAAGAAACTGGCAGTGCCTTGCAAACCTACGGAGAGGAGACCGTTTGCTTTCATAGTGAGATAGTTCTTCTAGGATAAAAAATGCATGCCAGCCCAAATGCAGTGTTCTCGGGTTATCATTCTGTCAATGTGGTGCTGACAATTTCATTTGAGATTCTCAAGGCAGCACACTTTAGAAACCATTTGAGAGTGCCCAGTAGGTCAATAAGCTCATTATCCCTTTGCTACCACAAGGAAAATGGAATGTCTGTTCATCAGATCATCCGATTCTAGAAGAATGACGAAGGTGGAGCGTCTTTGTTTTCATAGGATGTAATGTGCCACTCTCTCCAGTTGGATATAAATTGTTCCAAACTTTGTTTTCAAATATCTAAATGTTAAGAATGCTTCACAACTTGGTCTTTGAACTCTCCTGTCTCTCCCTTGTTGAGTTCTTAGGTTTAAATACCTTTCTATATTATTCTCAAATATACACTTGCAATCTGACCGTTTTCCTGAATTCTAGGCTTGTACATCCAACATGTGACACAAGTGGTGAGGTGGAAAGGTTGACGATTCTAACCAAGTCACCCAGGGATCAGCTGCAGCAAGGCCACCCCCTTGAGGACCGCAGAGCAGCTCTCTTCCACTACACACACACACACACACACACACACACACACAC